ACATTGTTCTATCATTCACGCTGTCACAAGTACAGAAAAACTCCATGATATTCCTGTTGAAAAACTTTCACTGATTACCTTCAAAATTTAAGTCCAAACCACTTAGCATGACAGTCACCACCCTTCATATCGTGGATGACTCTACTTTTTTTTTTTTTTTAAAAGATGACCGGTAAAGGGATCTTAACCCTTGGCTTGTTGTTGTCAGCACCACGCTCAGCCAGTGAGGAAACCGGCCATCCCTATATAGGATCCAAACCTGTGGCCTTGGTGTTATCAGCACCGCACTCTCCCGAGTGAGCTGCAGGCCGGCCCTGGATAACTCCGCTTTTCTACCTTGCTCTCCTACATTCCTCATCCATAGAGAATCTGCCTATTCCCCACAAACTGCATGCGAATGTACTTTTGCTCTTTGGCTTATGTTGCTCTTCTATACCTTCTTTACCTACCGGAAACCTGCAGTACAGGTTCAAAGCACATTAAAAGGCAAACTTTTCCATAAAATTTCCCCAAATCTACTAGGTAACAATTAATCATCTCCTCCTCTGTGATCAGACAGCATTTTACTGCCTGACAGCATTATAATATTTCTTTGTATTTTGTATTATGGTTACCTGTTTGCCTCCTTACTTACTAAAACAAACTCAGGAACCATTTCAGAATGCCCACAATATTTTACATATACTGAACTTGCAATATATTCACTTACTTTATGTATTATATCTCTTATTTAGAATCCCTATAATAATTTTATTGAGAGGTTTATCACTTAAAAGGTTTTTGTTCTGTTTTGTTTTAAAAAAAGATTCTTTAGAGAAATGCCTTTACTCAACCTTGACACCAATGATCAGGTTATCCTACTACATATATTAAGAAATGAAGTATACTGAGCTCACATAGTCAATAAAATAAATTCCAAATTTATAAGTTTTAAATTCCTAGTTCACTGGTCATAATAGTTTACACTTTTGAAAAGTGGTAAAAAGAATTTATTTTACTCAAACAGGGCTTAATGTTTACAATCGCTTACATAATAAGGAGAATTCTAATCCCACTTCACATTTAAAAAAAAGCAATTTGTACTGCTGTGGCAAGCAGCTCCCCCATGACTCCCACCTCCTGGTTATGCATACCCTCCTGTAATCTCCTCCCCTTGGGTGTGGGCTGACCCTAGTAACTTGCTCCTAATGAACAGAATATGGCAAAAATAACAGGATGTCACTTCAAAGATTACATTACAAAATTTGAGACTTCTGTCTTGGACTCTCTCTCTGGATCTTTTCATTGCTTGCTCTGATATAAACGAAGATGCCATTTGTTAGAGGTCCTATGAAGACGTCCAGGTGGCAAAGAACTGAGAAAAGTCTCCAGTCAAACACAGCAAAGAACTAAGAACCTCAATGCAACAGCCTACTCAATCCAACAGCCTGAATCATGAAAACAAACACGTGAGTGAGCTTGGAAGCATATCCTTCCCTACTGGAGACCCAGCCAGCGTCCTGACTGCAGCCTTCTGAGAAACCAAGAACAGAGGATCCTGCTAAGTCATTCCCAGATTCCTAACCCACAGAAATGACTGATAATAAACTTTGTTGCTTTAAGCCACTAAATTTGGGGATAATTTGTTACATAGCAATAGATAACTAATACAACCTCCTCTGAGTTAGCTATACGATAATGATGTATCCTAATGTCCTGCTGTTCAAGGTGTGTCCATGGACTAGCAGCATTAGAATCACCTGGGAGCCTGTCAGAAATGAGAGCCTTATTCCCCACCCTAGATTTGCTGAATCAGAATCTGCATTTTAATAAGATTCCAGGAGATAGGTATGTACATTCAAATTTGAACAGCACTCACCTAGAAAATCCCTCAGTCACTTAAAAAATATAATTATTTGCTCTTTCAACTTTCATTCTAAATAAGAACAGAATTCTGCTACCAATTGGGATATAAAAAACCACAAAAGAACATTACTCTTACCCTAACAAGAAAAGAAAATGCTATGAAATCATAATTTTCTATGAGCCCATTAAAGAGGTAATGGCTGCATGGCAACTGAGTAAACTGAATTCTAAAGTGTGACAGGGTCTTGTGAAGAGAGACGTAACATATGAACTGTTTCACCTCTGGCAGAGCACGGAAGTGGCAATCATAAAAGAAGGTAAGGAAAAAAATTACTCAAATTTTAGCAAATTCTTAAAAGTCAAATGTGAGCTAGCATGACAGTTCAGAATCTCTGCTGCTCCCAGATAGAAGGAGTCTACACCCACTAGCCAGCTCGTTTTCCCTAGACCTCCATGTGGTGCTCCTGAGGAAGACTGTACACAGGACAGGAGATCTAAGAGAGACAGAAACCTTTATAGATGAAGATAGGTGTGCAGAACCTGGAAAGGTTTGGGGATGAAGCAAGGATATTAGACAAAGCTCATCCATGTTACGGGCCATGAATGAGCACAAGGTGGAGATCAGGTGCTGTTGTGGGACAGGCACAAACCTGCCTCCATTACAAAACAAAAGTTGTCTGCCACTGAGGAAGAGGCAAAATATCTTCCCCACTCTAGTCCCAGGCAAAGAATGATTGTTGCTGGGAGAGAAGTTCAAAACCCAGCTATCCCCACACTTCACTGACATTAGGCATGTACCATGTGCCACTAGGAGAAGGGCAGGAAATTTGCAATGCTCAGATCCTCCAGTGATACAGAGATCTGCTGCCACTGAAAACAGGAGTGGTCAGTTACTTGTGCCCCAAACCTCCTGATGATATGAGTTTACCTACCATGATGGGAATGAACAGGAAACTGGCCTGAACTCTAGAACGGTGCTGTCCAATAGACTTTCTACAATGACAGAAATATCCTGTATCTGTGCTCTTCAATATGCCAGTCACAGCTACACTTGGATAACTGGGTATTAAAGAGTGCAGCTCTAGACTCTACACTGAGTAGATAAAGGAACTATCTACTCCTAGGGGAGGCAGGGAAAGCCTCACTCCTGAGCCAAAGGCATACAGAGCCTGTTTAAGACTAAAGCTGGAGGAGAAGAACCAAGAAACCCACACCTGCCCCCTCCACGAGCCTGGCACCAAGTAACAAGAAATAGCAATCTACCGCTGTGGGGAGAGACAAGAGTGCATAGAGATCTCCTACCTCTCTCTCACGCCCTAATGTGGCACAAGCTGAAAGATGAAGGTATAGCGGGATTGCTGAGAAAAATCATCTGATACTCCAGGCCTCACAATAAGCACTAAGAATCGGCAGTCCATCTCTGTGGCAATCTCAAGACGGTGGTGTACTGAAGACAACTATGGGAGCTGCAAAACCCAAACTCTGCTCAATTAGTAACTAGTCTGACCAATACCTGTTCACACTAACAATGTGACAGAAGTAGAGGCATGTCTACTTCTGGGCAGAAATATTATTTCCCTCAGTCTCTGCCATTCTTTTATAAACAATGTCTGACATTCAATCCAAAATTAGGAAACACACCCAAAACCAGTTGCAGTGATGGACCAGATACTGAAACAATCAGACATTATGATTATGATTAATATTTTTATGGATCTAGTAGGGAATTTTAGCAGAAAGATGAAAACTATTTTTAAAAAGGCACGCAAATGAAATTACTAGAAATGGAAAATATGTAAAAGCCTTCATCAGTCTTATCAGCAGAACAAAAAGAGGAAAGATCAATAGAAATTATCCAAACTAAACAAGGAGAAAAGAGTGGAGGGAAGGGAAGAGTAACCAAGATGCAAGACAACAGCAAACAGTTTAATATATTTTTACTTAAAGTCCTGAAAATAGGGGAATGAAGCAGAATGAATATTTAAAGAGATAATGAGCAAAAATTTCCTATATTTAATGAAAGACAATAAACCATATATTCAAGAACCTCTAAGAAACCAAAGCGAGATAAAAATAAAGAAAAACACACCTACAAATAAAGAAAAAAACATACCCAGGCCCACCATAGTCAAACTGCTAAAAAGCAACAATAAAGAGAAAATCTAGAAGACACTAAAGAAAAAAAAAACTTTACAGAGGATCAAAGATGACAGAGGAGCTCTTATCAGAAACTATGGAAGTCAACAGAGCAACATCTTTCAAGTACTGAATGAAAAAACTGTCAACCTAGAATTCTATACCCACTCCATCACAAAAAGGTTAAAAAATAAAAAATCATTGGCAACAGATCTGAACTAAGAGAAATGTTAAATAAAACTTCTCCAGGCAAAAGAAATTGATCCAAATAGGGCATCAGGACACAAACAACTTTTTTATAAAGAGCCAGTTAATAAGTAAAATGGTATAATATTATTTGAAGATAATGATAAATTAAAGATGCATGCTGAAAATCATATAGCAACCACTAAAAAAACTAAAACATAGGAATAACTGATAAACCAATGGCAGAGATAAAATTGAATCTTCAAAAAATACTCAACCCAGTACTGGCCAGTTAGCTCAGCTGGTTAGAACGCAGTGTTGTAAACATCAAGGCCAAATGTTTGGATCCCCACACTGGCCAACCACCCAAAAAAAAAAAAAAAAAAAAAAACACACTCAACCCAAGGCAGGAAAAGTGGGAAAAAGATAGAACAAATGAAAAACAAATGGCAAATAAGAGATTTAAACCCAACCATATCAATTACATTAATGTAAATGGTTACACTTTATAAGGGAGAGACTGTCGTACTGAATAAGAATCATACACTAAAATAGTTATATGAACACTACAGAAACTAAGAATAGAAAACTGGAACATTAAAAAGACTAGTCTATGTACCTACAGTAGTCCAAACATAATTCTGCTAGATTTATATCAATACCTAAGAAATTTTAAAACATCTCAAGTGAAAGGAAATGATGAACTAACATAATTAAGTTCAAGGTGAAGTAATCTAACTCAACTATTTTTCGTCTCTATTTCCTCATATTTTAAGGGCTCCAAGTTGGTTCCCCCACTTCACCAAATATAGCAATGTTTCATAAACACTGACCTTGCCATGGCTTCTTTCCACTTTCTGAAAACATTTATTCAGAGACAGATTATGTCGAACAGAATTCTTCCAGCCTGTTGGTGCAGTAGCAAAATATGGGAAGCGGTCCAGAATCCAGCTATAAATTTCTTTGACAGGCAAACATTTATTTGGAGAGTGTTCAATAGCCATATAAATGAGAAGACTAAAGGAGTATGGGGGCTTTGAAGTCGCTGGTTTTTTTTCTGGGTTCTGGTAGCAAGACGGTTCAAAAGATGGCACATCATCTCCCTCTATGTCATATAATGGACTTACAGTTGGAAGACCCTCACTTCCGAGGCTGAAGTTTGTTAGAAGATTAGTACTTTCATGAAGCCAATTCAAGTTTGTGAGTTCATCATCTGCTGACTCACTGTCCACTAGAGTGGCCTTTGGTCTGGCAGCATCAACAGCTTCAGGCAAGCTTCCCATTTTGTAAATCTGGCTTAATCCTGCAACCTTTTCAGCTCCTGGGGTTTCAGCTCTCTTATTTGGAGTCATTCCAATTACTGGACCCATTTACTCTTTTAATTCTGCAACAAAAGAAATAATTATCAATCAATGTAATATTTAAAACTCTTAACCTGTGAGAAAAAGAAAATACATATTTAAATATCCCCAAATCAAGGGCCAGCCTGTGGCTCACTTGGGAGAGTGTGGTGTGATGACACCAAGGCAAGGGTTAAGATCCCCTTACCAGTCACCATTTATTTATTTATTTATTTATTTATTAAACAAACAAACAAATGAATTCCCAAATCAGAGAAACTTTGCAATCAATTATCTCACATAATATTTAAGCACAATAATTATATATCAAAGATACTAATCATTATAATACAAGAAACAGAACTTGTTTATTTGAAATGGCTGTAAATAAAATGCACCTTTATAGCACCATATGAATGATATTAATAAAATTATATAATGTATTTTAAATACGCAATAAAGTACACAGTCCACAGTAACACCTAGTAAGTGGTGGCTGTTATTTTTAAAAATGAATAGACTATTTCTTTGAATTATGATGTTATAATCTACGTATCTTAAGGATCTATGATTTTACTATAATAGTCACACATATGGCTCAATCCTGAAAATAATCAAGTTTGAAATAGTTTAAATAATAATTCCAAATAAACCCTTTCCTCAAATCTGAAATATTTAAAGAGATAAATGACTTCTAATCTTTTATAGAATATCATACTAAAAAAGATAACACTTCTTTTTAATTTATTATTTTTTAAATTGACTAATACTTGTATATATTTATAATGTGATATGATACATGCATATATTATATAATGATTAAATCAGGCTAATTAATGTATCCATCAACTCAAATAACTTATTTCTTCTTGTGGTGAAAACATTTAAAATCTACTCTTAGCAATTTTGAAATATATAATACATTATTTAACTATATTCACCATGCTGTGCAATAGATCACTAGAACATATTCCTCCTGTTACTGAAACTTTGTACCCTTTAACTAACATCTCCCCTTTCCCAGTCCACCTCCCCTTCCACCCAACCCAGCATCTGATAACCACCATTCTACTCTTTACTTTTATGAGTTTGACAAGATAACATTTCTTATTCACTAAATGCATTATCATCTACATCAAATTTACTAATAGTAAACTTACTATTTCTTTTGTAAATTCCAGTATTTTTAACTCTCCATTCTATATCATCTCATCAAGTACTGACATTTCAAGGCTGACATTCTCTTAGTAAGGCTTGAACTGTCACTATTTTCAAAGAGAGAAAAAAAGCTGTTTCTAAACTATCCTTTTTTATTTCTATTTTCTCAAATGATTTTTGTTTTGCTTTTTAAATATGATTCAATTCAAAATATTTTTCATGGGAGAATAACTGACCAGAGAAGAAAGTGATAACTAATGTGCTATTTGTTTTCAATGGTTCATAAAGATATCTCATTTCTGAATTCAATGAAAAACCTTCCATTATCGTATTCAATCTATGTAAGCTTATGTAACTGAAATATAAGGAAATACCTCCACTGTGTTATTATGCTTAGGACATCACTGGCTAGTTACTTCAAGAATTATGGGAAGTAGGGGCTAGCCAGTGACTTACTTGGGAGAGGGTGGTGCTGATAACACCAAAATCAATGGTTTGGATTCTTGTACCAGCCAGCTGCCAAAAAAAAAAATACTGGTCAATTTTAGATGTAGAACAATCTGTCTGGATTCTGGTAGCTATTACTAGATGTAGTCTCAAAGCACTCAATTAGCAATAACATCATCTAATATATTGGGGGCCAGCCAATGTGCTTATATATCTCAACTAACCATTAATTAAACCTTATAACGTAGAGAGTAGTATTAACCCAATTTTATAGATGAAGAAAATGACTCAGAAAGGTTAAGCATCCTGTTTAAGAATGCATGGCTAGTAAGTGGAAACGTCAGAATTTAAACCCAGGCAAACTGACTTCAGACCCAAAATTCTAATCACAATATATCCTGGTAACAGTACATATACATCACCTATGAATACCAATGACTCGAATCCTATTTATTTTAAATCTCCACTTCTCTCTCACATATACCTATAACTTGAAACACCAAGACACTATAAAAAGGAAAAGACCAAACTATAACAAACTTGGTTTCTATTTCAATTATGAAAACCACTCATACATAAACATTCACACATATGTGCACACAATGTATATCAGAGCTGACATCTTGTCCTATGTAACTGACCAAATTATTCATTTTACCAAAGTCTTTCTACCCACAGAGACTTAAAAATGTGATGAATGAAAGTTCATTGGTTGAACAGTCTTGCTTCCTTTTATAACAAATCACTCTTTAGTACCCCCACTGTTCAATTAAAGGGAACAATTAATTTCTAATGTTCTTCTGCCTTTTCACCTAAATCTCCATTCAATTACATATAGAAATTAGAACGTACCAAATAGCAGTGGCTAACACTTAATGAGAGTTTACTGCATTAGAGAGTATACAACGGGCTTTAAAATGCTTCACTGCTATTTATTCTCAACTACTACTTAGTTCTATGTATGTCCTTTCTCTACAACTGTGAATTCCATGAGGAGTAAGAGTCTTTTACTTTTGTATTCCTAACAAATCTTATTGTAATGTTGGGTATGAGCAGGAACTCAAATCATAATTATTTTATTTTTTTGGCGGCTGGCTGGTATGGGGAACCAAACCCTTAGATCTTGGTGTTACAAGGCCATACGCTAAGCAACTGAGCAAACCAGCCAGCCCAATTATTTCAGACTGAAATGAACTTATATATGAATATATATACATCTACTCTGTACCAAATGATATCTAACTGCCTTTAAGAGTTATTTTATCTTGGAAATTAATCATTAATGGTAGGAAACATACTAAATGGTAAGAGAAAACTGAAATTCATTATTATGAATAAGGAAATAGAAGTGAAGTAAGCCATTTGCCTAATAAAAAGTAGAGGCCAAGATTATAAACCAGGATGAGTTCAATATCCTAGTTTTTTGTCGGTTAAAGTTACACTCAATCTCTTAAGGAACTTACATTTTTTGTAATACTACTTAAAAAAAGAAGTAATGAGTCTTATTAATGTAACAAACACTCAAATATCAATCTCTTAATAACTAATGAAAATAACTAATGATTAATAACATTAATAACTAATGATTCTCATCAAAAACTAATTTAGATGGTTGTAAATATGTTATTCCTTTGACTTACAAAGTTTATAATAAAATTCTGTTTTTTTAAGATGCAAAGCAATATCATGACAGCAAATACGCCAAAGAGTTACGCAAAGCATGGATCCAAGCAAGGTTTAAAAATTAAGTTCAGACACTGAAAGGCTGACATTCTTTTAGTAGGGGTTTAACTATCACTGTATTTTCAAGGAGAAAAAAGCTGTTTTCTAAACTATCCTTTTAGAACACTTTAGAACACTGTACAGTTAAAACACTAAGTTCACCACAATGAATAAAAAGGCAAATAATCTTTTCTAACAAATTGAGTAAATACAAATAGCAAACAAACATTAGGAAATATTCAACTTCACTAATAATCAATAAACAAAACAAAAAGGTGATATTAATTATATGTACTTAGCACAATGCCTGGTGTATAGGAAACACAAATATTAGTAATAAAAATAATCTATTTTTGTTCAAATTAGCAATTGTTTAAAAAATATATAGACACTAATATACAATTTTGGGCAAGGACCTAGGGCCATTTTGAAAAGCTAACTGGCAACACGTATTAAGAATCATCAAAAATTTCATAATCTCTGACCCAATAATTCCACGAGTCACTTTGGTTAAATAATCCTACATAGGGAAAAATACATTCCTCTCCCCCTCCCTCCCACTTCTTCCCTCTCTTCCTTTTTCTCTTTCACATGTTCACCCAAGAATTACTAAAGATAATGAAAAACTATAAATTTACATACCTTATAATAGAGAAATGGTAAAGTAAACTAAAGAACATCTATTCAATGTAATATTGAGCAGTCATTAAAAATGACTGTCTTGGGCCTGCCCGTGGCTCACTTGGGAGTGTGTGGTGCTGATAACACCAAGGCCATGGGTTCAGATCCCTATATAGGCATGGCCGGTTAGCTCACTTCGGAGAGCATGGTGCTGACAACACCAAGTCAAGGGTTAAGATCCCCTTACCTGCCATCTTTAAAAAAAAAAAAAAAAAAAAAAATGACCGTCTTGAAGACTGTAAAATAAATTAAAAAGCATATTAAAACTGGTAAAAAAGTAGAAAATATACAACAAAAAGCTAATGGTGGTTTGTATTATAGTATTAACTTGGTCATTTTTTTCTTTGCTGTTTTATTTTCCAGTTTTTCTTTTATGTGTTTATTGTTTTTATAGTTTAAAATTTAAAAAATAAACTCAGAGGAGCAAAAGCTGTGCTGGATTATTTGCAGTTATAGTATTTCCATTTCACAAAAAATCAAATCACAAAAAGGTCATGGACTTAGAGAACTCAAGTTAAAAAGAGAAGCCATTAGTTACATTCTAGTACAACCTATTCTGCTACAAAGCTTTTCACTAATATGAATTTGCTTATGGGTACATAGAGGAATGATTTTAGCATAATGTAATAACCACATTGGTTTGTGCATGATTTTTCCCAGCCTGTGTTTCTGCACTACCAAAGAACAACAGCTGAACCCAAAATAGGCTAACACAGTGGAAAGAAGCAAGCTGCTGAAAATACAGTACTGTACACAATTCTCATTCAACCCATGTTCTTACTCTTGGCACAGCTTGGCCACATGCTCTTTCTTGGAAGTGCTTAATAAGCTCTTCTCTCCACATCTTTGTGTATTTTACCCTGGCCTCCATAACCCTGTAGCTTCAACCCTTCCTTGCACACCCGTCATCGCCTTTTTTTAATCCTAGATTGATTATAGTATTTCTTTGTGACAAATTTAATATATGTTTTAAAATATTCTAGTATTCTCATTAAGATTTATTTTTGTTAGCATTCTAGTTATAAAGCTGCATGTT